GGTGGAAATGGCCAATGGCTTAACTGCAACTTTGTATAATTACGTAAATTAAAAGTTCGTATTAACGAAGTTCGAGGTCGTTTTTATAGGGAGGGGTCATCGCATATTCTGGAATCTCCGTAGGATAATGTGTACGCCCACCTTTTTACAGGCTTAATACATAGTCAGCGCATGTTTGTCTATTGTTCTACTTTTTATGGTACATGTAGTTATATATTTATATATATTACCTCATTTTAAAAGTAGATCAATAGACAAACATTATAACTATAAGATATCTATAAAATTATTCTTATATTTATCTCAAAAGCGTTTCATTTTACTATGTTTATATATTTTCTAGTGGATAATATGTCTCTATGTGTTCGTAGTCTACAAGAAAAAAGAGATTTATTTATAATGTTTTGAATCATCGCTTATCATGAACATCCAAGGTAAGATCCAGTGAATAAAAATGAAATCATACCATCCCAAGCACGCTAATATGGGGAAAAGAAATTAAGAAAAGCTAAAGTAATTGTGACGTTTTTCTTTCTTTTTTTATAAAAAGGGAAATATAATGCAGGGCTTAATGTTGTTGGCGGGTCTCGATCCCAGACCTCAATATTATTGATTCTGTGCATTATCGACTGAGCTAGTCGGCACTTATATTCGAACACGCGAAATTGTTGAAATCAGCCATTGCTGTTGATTAACAAAGGCTACTTCTACCGGTCGATGTTATTTGATATTAGTTATAAATACTTTATTTGAAATCTTAAAAAATAATAGTGACAAACATATGCCGAGAGAGAGAGAGAGAGAGAGAGAGAGAGAGAACCCTAACAAAAAAATACTATAGTAAACTATAGTTAACTAATAGTTAACTATAGTTTACTATAGTAAATCAAAGTTCCCAACTTTTCACCATAGTAAATCAAAGTTCCAAAGTTTTCACCATGATAGTAAATCAAAGTTCTTAAGTTTTCGCCATAGTTAATAAAAGTTCCAAAGTTTTCGTCATAGTAAATCAAAATTCCAAAGTTTTCGTCATAGTAAACCAAAGTTCCAAAGTTTTTACTATAGTAAATCAAAGTTCCAATGTTTCTTGTAATTACGTTGACAACTTATATATTTTAATTGAGTTTTTTTAATTATTAAACTGTTTTAAGTCTGCTAGGTCTGATTTATACTGTTCATCTTATGAAAAGTGAATAATTAAAATGCAATGTGTTAATTTAACATTAGAAAAAACTTGTTGCCTGAAGTAAATGAAGGGAATATTTTGATTCTAAACTACTCAATTTTTATCTTCTAGTAATTTTTTTTCTCCTTAAATAAAGATTAAAATTTATTTGCACAAATTAAGTTTAAATTGATACTGCTTATTTATCGGTGCAGTGACAATTTTTAAATTAAAACCATTTCTTGTAATTTGTTCTATTTGGCATGCCTACTTTCGAATATTTCCATATTGCAGAGCACCCATACTTCTCTTCATGACGCAGTAGTACGTCTAATACTACCGATTCAGGTATTGACTGCTAGTAATAGGACTTCGAAAGTTCCAAAGTTTTTACTATAGTAAATCAAAGTTCCAAAGTTTTCGCCATAGTAAATCAAACTTCCAAAGTTTTCACCATAGTAAATCAAAGTTCCAAAGTTTTCACCATAGTAAATCAAAGTTCCAAAGTTTTCGCCATAGTAAAGCAAAGTTCCAAAGTTTTCACCATAGTAATTCAAAGTTCCAAAGTTTTCGCCATAATCAAAGTTCCAAAGTTTTCACTATTGTAAATCAAATTTAAGTTCCAAAGTTTTCACCATAGTAAATCAAAGTTTCAAAGTTACATGTATAACTTTGGTACTATAGTTAACTACAGTAAACTATAGTTATAACTTTGGTACTATAGTAAACTATAGTAAACTATAGTTTACTATATTATTTTTTTGTTAGGGAATGCACGAAATATTGATACAGTCACTACAGTAACAGTTCTAATTTTAGACCACTCTTCAAAATATAACTCCGCCTCTAATGCATATTTATAAATCTTATCCCCAATCAAGGGCAGAGAAGTGTAATTTCCCGATATTTGCAGAGAGGTGAAGTAAGAAAACAACGAATTATTTGATTGCAACGCAGTTTATAACGTTTATGACATTGCCTTTCATTTGGAAATGGACTAAACTCTATAACAAATGACTTAAGGCAAAAATAAAAACAAAAATAAATGTGACAACAGAGATTGAAAAAGACCCCAAAACCGGCGTTAACCTTTCCCTGGTTTTAAGACCAATCTACATGTGTTTTGTTCAGAATATGGAAAAATGCATAGTGTTAAGAAATTGATAAAAATTATCACGGTTATGAACTGAAATTCGCACAATATCCTTATATTTTCTCAATAATCTTTTAAGCTAAATGCCGAGCATCCATTGTATATGTTCTTTCATGGACATATCTTTTTTACTTCAATCATTAAAAAAGTGAGTAGTTATTTACAAAAAAGATAAACAATGTGCTAATCTTTACTCAATCACTACAAATACTCTACCGGTATCCCTGTGAGCGTTCTTTTTTATAAGTAAGAAACAGTTTTCTCTGAAGTCTATTTTGCTTACAAAATAATTTTAATCATTTTATCTTCGTTATATCAGGAAAAGGCACTTGGGCTAAAAAAAATGATGAAATTACTTTTGATTTCAATCTCAATAAGGTGATATTACTTGGTCCTTATCATCCTTACGTCATTTCAACAAAAAAGAATCTAAAGATAAAATGTGAAAATGAAATAATGACATCATATACGTTTCATTGCGACAGAGACAGGCCTTAAAAGGGGAAGGAAAATGAATGAGTCTTACAAAAAAGACCTCGAGAACTGAAGTCCCTTACACATTAGGCGCTTACACGATTCGGAGCTCTCACTGCATATTAACACTGTATGTCGAGTATAGTTCTAATTATGTCGCCCTTCAGGATAGGATGCCGTTTCTATATGAGTGAACAACTTTTATTTGAATGGTACAGACAACAAATTGTAATGAATCAATGTATTTTACTTTGTCATTATGAGATAAAGAAAAGAGAAATTAATTCTACTGAGTATTAAAAAATCAAAATTTAAATTTCTTTATCATAATTACATCATTTAGGAGTGCTTTAAAAATCGCCCACGCTCTCTTGTTTTCCAGTCTGAATCCAGCTAAACAAGGCCTTATAAACCTTTAAAAAGAAACAAATCGATTATATTGAAAAAAAAAGTCAAATAAAATACTTATTGGTAGTATACAAGCCCAAACTTCAGAAACTATTTTCGACTCATATCTTTAATTTACGAGTTCAGACAAAAAAAATTTCCATACTCATTACAGGCACAAAACTACCAATCAATATTTGGAAAATTATAAAATGCACTCAGTCTCGTTTGTATGTCACGGGAATGAATATATCATTCCCTGAAAGACAATGTCCAATTTCTATAGCTTAAAATAAACTGTGAAACTCCTAAGTCCATCAAGTAATTTTAGGGATTTATTTCCGTAGTTTGGTGATAACAATGACACCGTAACAGGATAGACAAAACATATTCTAGTCAACAAAGTAGATCAAGATGAATCTTATTTACGTTTTATTATACAAAATGGCATTTAAAATAACCTCCATGCGTACCGAGCATAATGAGTATGTAAATATGTAAAAGTATTATACCCATATATGTACAAAATAGGTATTCTTCTTAATTCTTTCACACATATTTTTCTCTATTTACTTTACTTTACCTTTATTACTCCTGGCTTATCAATCATTGTACAGAATCAGGTATACAAAATGTTAACTTAATTTACCCGGACTTTATTTCTGTATATATATGAAAACAGATCCAGTAATTTTTGTTTATCGGTTAAAGAAAGAAATAATTTTTTTTGGAATATTGCTGATATTGTATTTTATTGAAAATTAATTAAGATCAGTGTTTCGATCGTTAACTTCCCTTAGTTATGCAGCAATGTACCAATATCACCTACGTACGGTGTTATATCTCAGTTGATTTGATACAGAAGAATATAAGTTCTACGTATATGTACAAAAAATGTTCAAACAATCTCTGAAATTATGTAACTTATTGACAAACTAGTTGATAAAGCAAAAATATCAGCCGTCTCGTTAAAGGTAATAATTTCGTAAATTCTATGGTCAATACAATGAACTTGTCAGCAAATACGTTCTATCATTTACCAAATGCTGACTTACTTTTTCATACTGATTCTAAAGCCATCATTTGCATACTGGATTGTAAACGGATTTTTCGGGGTGAGGCGCAATGACAAAGAAAAGAAACATGTGACCGGTCGGCATAGGATGCTCACTCCTCCATGGCACCCGATACCTGATTCTACCTCGGAAATTTTGAAGGTTTATGTTTGTTTTGTAAAATGGACCTTGGGGCTTGGATTCTCTTTGTTTTATCAATATATTACATTTAATCATTGATTTCTTGCATGGCAATCATTCCTTCTGCAAGAACCACAATGTTTTTTTTTCATTTAGACACATTGACATGTTATGATTAACGAGCAATTTTAATTATGCATACGTTTAACTCATGAATCACTCTGTATTACAGTGACGAAAGATGATTGAGATTGGCGATGAGATTATTTGTACATTGTTGATCAGATTCTGAACCCCTTAATTTGCATCAATAATATTTCCCACTCATTACAATGTAATCCACTTAAAATGTTTAAACTAAATAATTGAAAAATGCGGCATTTAGTTATACTCATGGAATATAGTTTGTTATATTCGGTTATCAAATATAGTACATCTACATGTCATCTCCAAGCTGTCGTGAAATGTGCTCGATTTCCTTTGCAACTTTATATCACTAGCATATTTTCCCATCACAATTGCATTCAATTTTATTATAAAGCATTTTAAAAATGTATTTATCAATAAATATTAATTTGAACAAAGGGTACAAAAGTAAAATTCTTATATTTCAATTTCGTATGAATTATCGATTCATAAGAGAAATGTACACCTTTTCTCCACATGGAGTTCGTAAGAAAATGTTTAATATCATCAGTGTAATTAAACAGAAACCGATAATTCCTATGACAAAAAAAATACTCAAAAAAGTTTTTGTCGTATTGTTCAAATCTTCTTTTTCTGATATGTTCATTGCTCTTGCATTCGCCACGAACAGATTATTTGTCGAAATTGGATTTCCATTGTTTTGTGTTGAAGATTTGAAAAGAAAATCTGAGGATGTGTGAAGTGAACCTGGAAAGTGAAACATAAATAGATTTCGGTTCAGAATTCCAAAAAAATACAGCTTGAGCAATTATACATGGAGCATTTGATACATAACATGAAAGCTTTATATAAATATTTTTTTATTTAATTAATTTGATATTTCGATACTCTTTGCTGATGAATTTGTTAGGTTCGTTAGGCTCAGGTTATTCTGGGCTCCTTAATTGGCCAGTAAATCATGTTGTACATAGAGATATATTTTTTCTATGGATTGCAAATGTATAAACAGTTGTGAGCACATGTTAAACAAATTCAAAGATTATAAAATATTTGAACATACCATAACATCCCGACACAGAGTTGCAGTTAGTTTCACTGCAGTTACAAAGCTGCTGGCATTTCGACCCGTACGAGGGATATGGACATTTTATCTCACATTTCAGGCCAGTGTATCCTGTTTTACATTCTGTGAGTTTATTCAAATATAATTAATGCCCCAAATTGTAACAGCAAAAAAAAACAAATAATAAAATTCATTTTTTTTTTAAATAAAGATAATCAAAACATGTAGTTCAAAAGATCTAAAATAAAAAAGGATATCCTTTCAAAGCATACACAGAAAGACTTGATAAAATCTGGTTATCTTTTTTTATCAAAATACTTAGTACTTTGATATTTTATTATCTACACCCTAACACTCTACGTCTATGAATGAAATCAGAAAGAACAATCAAAACAGAATTTAAAGTGCTAAAGTTATGAAGACTTACCAACACATTCACTGTTTTCGAGTTTATAGCCAGCTAAACAATGTCTCTTAATTCTTTGGAAAATAAGAAAAAGTTCGTTTATATGAAAAAGATTGAAATAAAATCAGAAAAAACGATCAGTCACAAATGAACTCACCCAAATTTCGGAGATGTGTTTTGCCCGTCTATTTCAAATTCTCGAGGAAACAATAGAAGCAACAAAATAATGAACCTCATTTTAAGCATGTTGCATTTTAAAAAATCTACTAATGCTGAGTTTATAGATATATTGGATAAAATTTCACAGGAAATAAATACCGAGGTCGACAACCTTCAAACTGTTCAAAACACTTTTACGATACTTCAAAGTCCAACGAATTGAGAAGGGGATATATTTCCGTAATTCATTACTGTATTAATAATCGTTATGTTCTATAAGAATGTGAAGAATGTAAAGAAATATATAGAAGGTAAAGTTTTTGCAGAACTTGTGTCATTCACAATTAAAGTTAAAAACATATTTTTAGCATATAGGTCACACTCAAGGTCACAAGGTCATTGATCTTTCTTATTTGGCATTGTCATTTGAAAGATCTCAATTAGTGCAGTATGCATACCAAAGGAGAAGTATCTATTTTCCATTGTTTAAATGTTATGATGATTGCATATAGGACACAGCCTAGGTAACAAGGTCATTGACCTTGTGGTCATTTGAAATATCTTAATTAGAGGAGTATGCATACCAAATATGAAGTCTCTATCTTTTTCGCATTTATCACCATATTTTGATAAATGTATTTAATACCAGTGCAAGGGATAACTCGTGCGTTCTATTTGTAGTAGTTAAACATTATCGAGACTATGGGTTTTAAATAGATGACGTAATATTATCAAGCACCTTATGACGCGGATTGTCATAATCTACCGAAAAATCTAGAAGGGTAGACATGTTGCAAAATTTCATGTCATAACGCTATCACAAATATCCGCTGCCATCGGGTCGTAATGTCACACGATTCAAGGAAGATGGGGAAAGAACAATTTAGACTGCGACATCAAATCGGATAAGGATACCAAGTGAAAGGATGCCCGAGATAGCAGCCAAGATGGGGGTATGAGGATGACACACACGCCGCTCCGGATTCTAGATGGGTCGGGTCTGGAGATTGAGCAACCCAAAATGGAAGTAGTGTAGGCTGTTCTGCAGGATCGGGATCACTGATTTACCCAGTCATCCACAGCTAAAAAGAGCATCAGTGGCAAATTTCATGGGGTGAGGTTAAATATATATCATGGATATGTATACATGCATTAATTTTATTATTTTGACACAAAAAAGGAGTAATATTATTACTCGAGTATACGGAATGTCGGTGTTTACGTGGCTTGGGTCTCTGGCCATTTGGGTCGGGGTGCGTGTTGGTGGCTTTTTGTGCTGCCATGATGATAATGTAATCTTACTACTGCTCTTTTGTGGGGAAGTCGAGAAAGTTCTATATACATTTCTGGGCATGGCATTGTTTCAGTACCCACTCGACAGTAGTGACAATCGGATGATTCGAACAACCAATATTCAAAAGTGACAATCTTCAGTCAAAAGTATAAGGTACTCCCGAGAAGTGAACCTCGGATTCTAGATTGTCAAATAAATAAATAAATTAAAAAAAATAAATTAAAAAAATAAATAAATAAATAAATTAGAGTACAGTGTATTTCACTAGCTATGTAAAGTGACTATTTTCAGTGGAAATTGAATGAGAAGAGTCTGCTTCGTTAAATATCGTAAGATGAAACGTTCGAGCATAAGCTCATCAAATAAAAAAAATACCAACGCTATAGATTATTCATGCTAATGTGCGTTAATTTTTGGTTGGTGGAAATACTCCAGATCGCGCCGGATCCAAACTAAAAGCAGTAGTCCAGTAAATAAATTGTTATTGGGGGAGGATTGAGTTTGAGTTATATGGGTAATGTAACTATCATCATGGCTACAATATGAATAATTATCTCGACGATCATTTCATGGGAAATTATATAATGTTGCATTTACAGCTTATGCCAAAAGGGCATTGATATCCGGGTACCCCCCTCCCCAACATGGTTCTCTCTCTGACTGGTAGAAGTTATGACCACTATCACCTGAAATTGTGGTGAGTAAGCCTTGTGCCAAAGGGGGTAATTTCACTCATAAATTATTGACTTTTACAATTTAGATGTAAGTCCCCGATCTGGATACATGTACAGTGAAATGAAGTAAAGTAGATGAAGTAGTATTCATTAATCGCCTATTGGGCCTGGGTATATGTTGAATGCATTCTGTTTGTCTTATACTACCCCCCCCCCCCCCCCTTCAATGTCTCTTTAACAAACCCTTGCCAGGTCGGACAAAGTTTGAAAAAAATATTCAAAATGTAATTAATTACATGCATGAAGATTTTTTTTTTATTTTAAAGGAAAATTGGGAGACACTATTTGTAAGCATGTGCTAGATATTTTTCATTAGGTTTGTGTTGAATATGGCATACAGGTATGATGAAGTATCCAAAGATAAGACAGCGGAACTCGCATCAGGTTTGAGTCTATGGGATAGTATGGAGACTAGCTATGCTTATGTGTTTATCTCAAGATACATTTATTGAGCTATATAATAATCCCAAAGATAGGTGTCTAGATGCCTAATACCAATTAAGTAACACAAATAAAATTAAAAAAAAAAGTTATATTCAATATGGATAATTCTCTTAGGGAAAGCACACGTTTTTTACACCAGGTATGTGTTATATAAGGATTGAAGAAAATATAAGAACTAAATACCATAACGTATATAAATAACATGTCATGCATTTCCCCCAAATGCCAGGATATCTGTAAAAAAAAAAAATTTTCCCTCCATGAATTTACACTGTAAAATTGCACAACTATCTTACGGCTTTTCATTTGCAATTTCTGAAAACATATGCATATTTTGAAATTGGATAATTTTTCTTTCTATGACATGATTTCAGGTAACTCTAACGATATATGTAAGTTCGAAGATATATCATTGGTACAGTGTAAATACACATTACTTTATAAGGAGTTAGCATTTTTTTTTTTGAGAGTGTTCAATTAATTGCCGATTTTATAACCGAAGGATCTGACTGTCTTATTCAATTTAATAGTCTAAGGAGGTTGGGGGTCATATAATATCATGAGCTATGAACTATCATTTGGTAAGGAAAATCTCATAAATTTTAGTTTTTGATCATTTTAGTGTATCTTTAGATGGAGCTCTTCTTCCAGAGGAGATCAAAATAGTCAAAAATGGCCACAACCACCCCCCTTTTACTGTTTTTTTTTTCAAAGAAGAGGTCATTGGCTTTTAATACATGACATTTATTTACAGATATATATATATATATATATAATATATGTAGATATATACAGATGATATATCTAGGGTTTTCGGGGACTTTCTTTTCACAATGAGTAAGCTTTAGAGGATCGCCATATTATGTTCGAATAGATAAGAATGACACGTTTGGTATTTGATAAAAACAACATTTATACAAAATATTATACATGTAGGTATCTATCTATCCATCTCTCGATAATCGCCCACAAATTTTGTGTACTCGGAGTAATGTGCGCATCTGTTTAAAAGATATAAAAAGTACAGAAAAGTAAATTTCAATGCTTTGGAAAGGGAACGTATTAAATTATTAGTGAAGATAAAAAGTTTAGAAACAGTTTTCACATTTAAAATAAATAAAAACACTTATAATATGATTAAGGTCTCGGGTGATACAGTTTGCTCTCTTCCAGTGAAAAGTTCAACATCTGGAGTCGAGAGGTACCTTTCATACTGACGAGCAAACTTGTACTTAATATCAATTATCTCAGTATTTTAGTTAAGTTAAATTATTTAAGAGTTCATTAGTAGTTATATCAAATTACATTGCAGATTCTATTTGACAATGGCTTCATTTTGGGTTTTGGGGTCCTCGTGCATCTCAGGTCAATAACAGAAACACAAGTTTCGATAATTGGTCTACACCTTTCAAGCAATGTCACATTGGCATCATTAAGCTAATTAGAGAAAAAAAATCATTAGGAATTATAGCCTGAACTTGGTACAGTCATGACCGGTTTTGGGTTTTATTTCAATGGTAATCTCCTAACTAATAATGCATTATTCGGGTGATGACTTACCCCATTGCCTGACACCCGTGGCAAGTAAATATAAGGGAGGTGCAAGTGAATTGTACCAACCATTTGCCCGGGGAATAAAATTAATATGTAAGACAGATTAAAGCTGGGCACAGGGGCTCACATGATCTACTCATTATTTGTCTTCCCCCTTTTATATTAATACAGTATTATCGTATGGTAGGGCAAGCCATTTCTGGAACATGAACAAATTCTGCGTTAGTTCACACTATTTTCAGCAGCAGCATTATAGGTCATTCCTGAACAAATTATTGAACTAAAGGCCAGAAGCAGGTATTCATAGATTGTGTGTAGTTTTAGATATTGGGATAGGGCATTCATAAGATACTGAGATACCCAATGTGAGATCATTTGTCCGCGAGGGAAAAACCCTCAATTTGATAAAAAGATTTTTAAAAAAAAGGAATTTGATTGATCCTTTGTTTTAGAATAAATTGAATTGCACTTGGATGGAACATGTACATGTTGGTTTCAATGACCCAGGAATCTCGCCTGGATCATTATGGTTTCATAGTATAGAACTTTCCTGCAAGTTATTGGTACAAATTCAATTAATTGGTCTGATAGAAGTTTATCTCAAGATACAAGGACGAGTCTTCATTACATGTGGACCCTAGCTTACAAGTGTCTCATATATATGTACATTTATAAAATTTGAAATTTGAAGGTTAGGTGGGTGAAATGCTGAATTAAAACTTTCATAGATACATCTTACGCGTTATTGGCGGGTGAACTTGTATAGACAAGTTCATTTGGCGGAGTTCGGGGATTACCACGAATGATGATTTCTACCATGTCTGGCTCAAAACTCTGGGTAATCTATCCTCAGTACTGGGGAAGATTTTGGGGTTACCTCAGCGGTACCTGAAGGACCGGCTTGATCCTTGTGGTACCAAGGGCAGGTTTTGGGGGTCTAAGGTACCCAGCTACCCCTGGGGGTGTTATCCCCATGTTGTTGTTGTATTCCAGGGGAGACAGGTATAGAGTGAGGACCTGGGTCAGAACTTGAATTCATTCATTCCATGTGGCATTCACTCTTGTGGGTTCCAAGAGGTCTGTTCCCACCACAGTCACCTGTAGGTGCGCTATCGCGCCAGGTCAGTAGGGAGGTAATCCAGGTAGGCAGGTAGTGATTCTCTGGATTCCGCCGGGGTATTTACATCTATGTATAAATAGATTGTGACAAATACTTGCCACGAAATGTAATCATTGTTTTACAATAAATGTGATTAAAGTTAATTTTGTTTCTATTCATTGCATCTGGGATTAATCACAGTTATCACCATATTTTGATAAATGCATTTAATACCAGTGCACGGGAGATAACTCGTGCGTTCTATTTGTAGTAGTGAAACATTATCGAGACTATGGGTTTTAAATAGAGACGTAATATTATCAAGCACCTTATGACGCGGATTGTCATAATCTACCGAAAAATCCAGAAGGGTAGACATGTTGCAAAATTTCACCCACCCACACTTCCCTAAAATTTGTGTACATGATTTTGCTGTTTTCTCTTCTGTAATATCAGTGACAGAAGGATATTCCTTAATGGAAAGTGTTGTGTATGTGGAACACCCAAGCGGTCGAAATCAGAATCAAAGGAAGGATGTGGTCATTATGTATATGGTGGGGACCGTTTGGTGTCCATCGGACATTTTCTGTTGTAACAAATGAGTCAATACTGAGTTTTAAGGTGTGATATATAACCAGAAAGTCAGTGTCAATGGTTATTATAAATAATTATGTGTTATGTACAGTGCTACTGTACAGTGTTAATTATTTTTTTTAAGTATCGCAAGCAACAAAGCTTGTATACATATTATTTTGGGATTATGGTAACGTTCTTGAAGTCACAATCTGGGTTGGGGGCGGCGGAGTTCGGGGATTACCACGAATGATGATTTCTACCATGTCTGGCTCAAAACTCTGGGTAATCTATCCTCAGTACTGGGGAAGATTTGGGGGTTACCTCAACGGTACCTGAAGGACCGGCTTGATCCTTGTGGTACCAAGGGCAGGTTTTGGGGGTCTAAGGTACCCAGCTACCCCTGGGGGTGTTATCCCCATGTTGTTGTTGTATTCCAGGGGAGACAGGTATAGAGTGGGGACCTGGGTCAGAACTTGAATTCATTCATTCCATGTGGCATTCACTCTTGTGGGTTCCAAGAGGTCTGTTCCCACCACAGTCACCTGTGGGTGCGCTATCGCGCCAGGTCAGTAGGGAGGTAATCCCGGTAGGCAGTTAGTGATTCTTTGGATTCCGCCGGGGTATTTACATCTATGTATAAATAGATTGTGAAAAATACTTGCCACGAAATGTAATCATTGTTTAACAATAAATGTGATTAAAGTTAATTTTGTTTCTTTTCATTGCATCTGGGATTAAATGGTTCAAAAAATATGATGAATGTTCAAAAAAGCTTTTTTAGCATATAGGACACAGACAAGGTCACAAGGTCATTGACCTTGGGGTCATTTGAAAGAGCTTACGTAGTGATGTATGCATACTAAATATGAAGTCTCAACCATTCAGGGTTCAAAAGTTATATCGAATGTTAAAGTTTGCAGACAAACTGACAAACAGATAAACAGACAGAAAGACAGACAGACAGTACTAAAACAATATACACCTAAGAACTTTAGATCCGGGCGCATACAGAAATACTTTTATCTAGTAAGAGTATGTTGAAGTGTTCTGCTTTTGGTTTAAATAACTTAAGACAGATGAAAAGGTTATCAAGGAATATTTTAAATATCAGAAGATGCGTTTGTGCTTTCCATATATTGTGATGACCTTTTCGTTACTTATGAAAGATCCTCCAATATACATCCCTATTGACAGAATTACAGTTACTGTCAGCATTTTGGATTGGGGTTGCCATAAATATGTATAGGGTTTTAAAGTTTTTAAACTCAATTCCGTTAAATGATCCAATTTATCTATTTGAGAGCCATATTCACTAACTACGGGTTTCTAATACATATATGGAACTCTTCTCAAAAACCTTAGTCTATGGGGCTTTCAAAAGAAAGGATGTTTTTCTACGCTTAATCCAGGTTCACACACTTTTTTTAAATTAAAATTGTTTAAAGAATTAATAACAGAAATGTATCAAGTTATCATCAAATGTTATAATTCTAAGTGTAAATACTAAATCTAATTCTCCGGTACTAAATATTAAGAATATATAATCTAAATTAGATACTGAGCACATAGTTTAAGATATTTATGACACTACTGCTAATCGTTAAAGTGCATGCCTGTTTGTTTTTTATTCCCGATATTAAGCAGTCAAGATATTTCCAGAACGCAAATATAGTCATTGATGAATCAACTGTTGATTAAACGAACGATGTCAATTCATTCTAATCACAAGGTGAGAAAAAAATTCGTACTTTTTTCACAGCGTAGGCTAACGAAGATATCCTAGACCACTCTCCAAATAAGAAAGGCTAAAAATGGTACTAGTATTCTTTTAATGATCTTGCTCTTTATAATTAAAAGTGTACATACAATTATTTTGATCCTGGTAGCTATTTACAAGTACAGGTGACTCTCGATCTCTCGAAGTTCAAGGGACCGCAAGAAAAGTTCGAGAGATCGAGGGGTTCGAGAGATACAAAGTAAAAAAAATCCGCGGCTTGATCGGGACCTTCACCAGATTTTTCTTAATCGGTATATTCAGCCCTTGAGAAAGGAATTTTCTTGTGCATTATTTGCCATGCTGGAATTATTTAGACTGTATTTAATCATAATAAAAGTTCATAGTCTATCGGAACTTACTGAAACGAACATCTATAAATTAAATTTCTAAAAATTATCGTCTCAGTTTCAATTCGAAATAAGTTGTAAATTTGTTTATAATCTACCCTGCAATTAATAACCAATTAATTATATAAAAACACGGACGACCTACAGGTGTAGTGTCATCTAAGTAAACACCCAATTAACACCTCCATGCCAGCCCAAGGAGTTCATTGTTTCCAGGTAAGTCCAGACTGCATCAATTTTACGCTTGATTGGCGTGTATAAACGCGCAATCAAAACTTCGAGAGATAGAGAGTAAAATTCAATGAAATATGTGTAA